CCCCTTCATGTATTCAATTACTTCGTCATATGGCTTGTCATCATTTGGAGACTTATAATCGAAATATATGATTAATTTCTTTTTTTTTTTTTATATATATAATTTATTTATATCTGATACTTTTTTTGCAATATGTGCCCTTGAATACCTATTGAAAACTCAATAGCAGGTTCTTTTAAAGTGCTAGCTCCTCACCGGTAATAACAACAATTTTATGTTTCATTTAGTGTTTTGATTCAACTAAGAGTTTAACAAGTAAATATTTATCTTGTACTGACGATCGTGCTAAAATACGGAAAGTTTGAATTAATTCTATTAAATAAATATTGATCAATATTTTCAAAAAGATTTAAACGTATAAGTCCATGAAATTTTTTTCCATTGAGAACAAGTAAATGAACCGTCAGAGACATAATATACCAAATTTTAATGCTAGTTGATCGTACCATATTTATATGATTACCTGTAATCATACGAACAGTTACACCAGTTTCTTTACAACATTCAATCGCTTCTCAAACGTATTGTAAATATAAAATTTTTAAACAAATAAAACAAAGTTTTTACTTCTAATTGAACACGATCTTTTATACTACAAATACATATCAAATCTTGAAACATAATTGTTTCCTTAGTTCAATCATTAAGCATATGATCAAAATCTTCCTAAACTATACATATTGTTGTTAAACTATCTGAAGTCATCAGTTCAATAACATTATTCTAAAGAAATTATATTCAGGTTTCCGAAATTAACAACACATAAAAAGGTAATTTCTATGAAAACTCCAAATTATTGATACATGTTAATTTTCGAAAATACTGAAAATTCTTATAGTGTTTTTGAGTGAGTTTCTATATTTCTATAGACCTATAATTTTGTTTATCTATATTGATGTCAAAGAAATTTCTCTCTTATCAATCAATAATTACGGATGTTTCATAGAGATTTACCTTCTCAGGTGTGAGTAATTTCGGAAATTACCTTACTAGGAAACCGGAACACTGCTGGGGGAAAATGTGGAGTCAGAACAATAACATTTATTGTAGTAACGATCATTCTGGTGGAATTCATAAGATTATTTTTAGAATAACTATGTTAACATCCCCATGAATTTAATTTGAATAGATAATTTTCAGTGTTTTTATTCAGACGTTCTCTTCCAGATGAATGACTTAAAACTCCAGGAGGGCAAATACCTATTTTTAGCAACATGCACGCATAGACATAATATAATAAGCACAAATTCCGGAACAGTCAATCTGATCTTCGGAGAGACGCGATCTTCTCGGCTCTCATATTAAATAAACTACTGAAAATTTAGCTAATTATGCACATGAAATCAATTATTATTATTATTATTGGCTTCTGTTTTTTATTAATTCTTCCATTTATTTTTGTTTTTAAAACAATATTACTTAATAGAATAAAACAAAAAATTATTATGTTATTTTTTGTATTAGTGAACGCATTAAACCAATTTAACTGTATTCACAAACAGCTATTACGAAAATTTCTCTATGATATGTGTATTTTAAATAATTCAAATAAATATTCAATAAATTGAATATACCCGAAAGAAGAAATGAATTCTAATGATTTGATTTTAATGTTAATGATTATTCATCAATATCAATTTATCCTTTTAGAAAGGGATTCTTTTTCTGCGAAGCAAAACAATGAAACACGAAATTATTTTAAATGAATAAATTAGTACCTTTAATCAGTGCTGTCGATCTTTCAAAAGCTAGTACAATGCATATGTATGTCACTCGCATTGATGTCCATCGCGGCTGGAAACTTCTCGTTGTGCTAAATTAGCACACCTAAATTGGATCCATCAGATTCGCTAAGATTCTGACTGTTGAACTTATAGATATACAAATCCAGTCCAAATCTATGCAATTTTACAATGTTCCTAAAAACGAAACTACCGCTGTTGAGATAATATTTTTGACGCATATCTCCCACTGGGATCACGGCAGCGCCGCCATAGACGTCTCTGCTCGTTCTTATCAAATCATGCAGTAATGCTAGTTATATCAATGATAAGTAATATGCATCAATAGGTCTGAACTTATCCAGGACAGGAAACATTTATATTCGTCTCCTATCTTGAAAAGGTTAAAGAAAATGATGAATTGAATAAAGATGATAATCTTTTTTTTTTTTATTGACATTTATTTAACAATGTTTTTGAAGTTTATTATCAAATGAAGGATGATAAAAATGACAGAAAACAAGACCGAATGATCTCAACAAACATATAATAAGAGTGATACGTATTAGATTTTAGAAAACTTCTCATATAAAATGAAGAAAACATTTTTGCTAACTTTTTTAGGCATTTTCTTACGGTCAAATATTTTCTTTCGTTTCAATAAATCTGATAGATTAGCTGATAAACGTGCTATTAAATTTGTTTAAAGTTTTTTTTTTTTTTGTAAATCATATAGACCACTAAATATTTTATTAAGTTCTTTCATACTATCATGATTTTATATTTGCATTAGGAGTTTTAAATTTTGACATGAAATATTAAATCTATGAATGAAAACTATTTGATTTTGTTCTAATTAGATAGATATTCTGACTATCTTTGATGTTTCACGATGTTTGTCAACTGTTTATATCCGAAAATACACTCAGTAAAAAAAGGCAAATGCAGAAAACAAAAAGCAATGAATTCTAAGATATCTACTTTTAACTGCACATTCTTAATATTTAGAAGTAGAGTTCATCAATCAGACCTAGGTCAACAAATTTTGGATCCGACCCGCTCTAATCATTTGTGTAATGTGTAGGGTGCGCTAGTCACCGAATATGAAAAACAACTGGAAAAAACTATCTCGGTCTATTCAGGGCGATTATCATATTCCGATTAGAAAATTTCATTCAACTTATCAATGCACGAGTCTGGATCCGACGATTTAGGAACCGAGGGGCTCTAGCTACCAGAAGGAAATTATTAAACATTGATTTTATTGATCTCAATGCTGATACAACGTAGAGTTTCTATTGTTTTGATTTCTTTTCCAGTTGCCCGTTTGATCGATTTTGTCTGAAGAACAATGATGAAAGAGAAGTAAGTATTTTTTTTTAAATAGAAGTCAATCGAATGGCCTACTATTTGTATAATCTCAGAATTGATATATAAGTACTAGTGTAAAATTCGATTGAGAAGAAGGATTTTAGCAATTATAGAAAGAACTTTATCACCATAAAATGTCATATTTTATAGTTTAATCATAGATCCATGTTTAAAAAAGAAAGTAATCTCAAACATGAAGTGTATCTACGTAATTGTACTTAAAAAGAGAGAACGTGCTTAATGTAATATTCATTTTACGGTTAAGAGATAAACTTTTTCTTTTTTCTTTGTTTACATCAATTTTAAAAGTTGATTTGATTTTCCGTTTCAATAAATCGTAATAAATTCAATAGTAAATTCATAATGAAGTTAATAAAATTTAATCATGTAAAACATGTTGGATGTTTTTTCCATCTTCTTCAATAGATGTCAGCAAGATAAACATCATGTGTTATTTATTATCCATAACTTGGAAAATCATGATGGCTATTTTTTTGACGAATCACCATGAACTCTTTGTCCAGTTCATATTAAAACGAGTCACACTTTTTTTTCAATCGTGTTGACTTTCTTTTGTTTACTAATCACCAACCAATTTATATCTATTTCCGATTGCTCAATTATAGAGTATCCGTACCCAAAAGAAAATGTAAGACTACTGTATTCTATTGTGTAAGAAGAAGAAAAAAAGAACGCTTCCTGTTGGAAAATTATTGATTGATTTCCCTCTTGATTTGTCTTTTCTTTATATTGTAATGTATGTATCTTAGAGTTTTCTTTCTTTTTTGTTTTTTTTAGTACCTGTATCAAATATATTTTATCAATAGGTACAAAATATGTTTATCAATGAAATGATCATTATAGATGTATTTATATCTATTCAATGATTAATAATTAATAATCATTTTCTTTTTTTGATATAGAAGATATATTATATCCTTCATATTCAATTAGTTGTTTTGTTTTGTTTTGTTTTTCGCGTGAAAATGTTAAGAAAGATCTTGTTTAAAAACAGAAAAAAAATCGATTCCATATAAGAAGAAACAAAAAAATGTTTAAACAAATCATAATGAGAATAGTTCGTGATGATAGCACGAATTTGTTCTCTCTCTCTCTCTTTTTTTCTCTTTAACTCGTATGACATTGACTTTCTTATTGGTTCTTGTTAAATTTGCTCTCATCATCATTATTTAGAGTTTACTGATGATGAAAGACAACGAGAATGACGTACACTATTATGCCTCTTAGGTCTTTGACAGCATTACGACAACTGCTTGTCCTTGATGCTGGTGTTTGTCGTTGACACACACATACACACATATATATATAGATAGATATCTGTACACACATAGGTACAGATAGGCAAGGCACGGTCCAACGACGTATGGCAATTGCATTGAAGATGGGAACGATAGCGGCAAAAAGATGTGCACAATGGCACAAAGATGTGCTATTACTGATTCTACCACTTCTGTTGTTTCGAGTAGTCGTTCGCCGTTTGTTGTTGTTTATTCGATTCTCATTGCCTGCTCGTCGAGAATGTCGCCAAAGCTGTACTTTCATAATGAAGATATCACAGGGGAATTCTTTTCCTTGTCCTCTTATTTGTCGGCATGCATATTTCTTACTCCTCATCACCATTTAGCAGCCGTCGATTTAGGAAGTACAATAGCGAGAGACGCAGAAAAAAAGTCATTACCACCTTTTGTCTTTCTCTGTAGTTTTCCATAGGATGTCGTCTTTTATTTTTGTCTATCTCTTGTTTATCTAGCAGTACTATCATATCTATTTTTTTCTGCCTTGATAATTAAACAGCATAATGCAAGAAGATTGAGCGACATATAAAGATTACTGTCGTACATTTTCTATTATTATTTTGACTAATTATTTTTCTGTGTTCTAGATGTAATGTCGACTATTGAATCAAATAATAGCGCTATGAATTCAAAGATTCAGTCGAATACAGTTACTTCGACTGCACTTGTTTTGTATCCGTCCAATATACAATCTCAAACACCACCGCCTCCACCATTACCATTAACATCAAGTGCATCATTACCATCATCACCAGCGTCATTTAATGAAGACAAACCTATTGAAAAATTTTATAAAAAACAAAAACAAATTATTGTTGAATTTGACCAAATTGTTAAAGGTGTGTAAAGGTTTTTTCTTCTTATCTGTTATTATTATTATTATTATGGATGAGAATGAGTAGGAGGATATCAAGTTCGAAAGGGCGAAATACATACACGTCCTTCTCGCATCATGCGTACATATATATATAAATACATATCTTTACTCATACAGGGTATTATATATCAACAATCCGTGCATGAGATATAAAGCCTTGTTATTATTCTCCATTGACATAAAAAATGCTGATGATGATGAATTGAAGTCAACAAGTCAATATTAAAAACAAAAGAAAGAAATATGAGTTTACTTTTTATGTAGAAAATGTCAAAAATCATGCGAAAAAAAAATGATTATAATAGAAAGAAGTTGATGACATGACAAGAAGCCTGAAGGCATTATTGAAAAATTCGATTAAGAGCTTGTCCAATCACGCATAAATACTGTTTGAGATGAAATCACTGAAGAGAGTTCTAATAGTATATTTCATGTGTTATTATTATCACTCTATATTCAAGAGTTAAAAAAACAAACAAATATCAAAATTTTATCATTAAGTGTATTTTCTTTTCATTTGCAAAATAAGATAAAGTCAAACAATAAAATGAACACAAAGGTATCACATTTCTAATGAACAAGATGTAGACAAGAGAAAGAAAGAAGAAGGAAGAAAGAAGAAAGAAAAAAATATATATGAATAAAAAACGTTGACCGATTCGTTGATGTTGAATGCGCTTGCTTCACATTGGCATACAGCATTGTTCCTCTTTCATCGTTCATATCTATGCGAACAAATGTTTGCTATTACTCTGTTGGAGGGCAGACATACACATAAAGTGATACATTAAGCTCCAACATCGTCGCCGTCGTCGTTGAGCAGAAGAACAAGAGGAAAAAAAGTCCTTTACTCAGTCGCTCATTCAATCATCATCATGCAGACTCACGAACGAACAATTAGAATATAGTTGTCTATCTATCATGGTGAACTATACATGTGGAGTAGCTTCAACAAAAAATAGCTTACGCCGTTCATCTAATTCACAAATAACTTTATTAAGAAAACAAACTGAACGTTATAGACTTCGTAGGATTATCAGATCAATAGAAATAAATTATATTTTCTTATTTATTTGTTTATCAATTAGATATTCGTTTTCAACTTAATGAACAATTAAAATGTTTGGAACAACGTATCGATACACAAATATCAATTCTTGCTGAGATTCAAGAGTACTTTAAACGTCGTGCTGATGTTGAACTTGATTACGCTAAAAATCTTGATAATTTACATAAGCAAATAGGTCAAAAACATCGAACACAAAAAGCACGGTAGGATATCATATTTATATTGAAATAATTCAATATAAATAATTCATTATTTTGACATAGACGAGAAAGTTGGATACTTCAATCTATATATAAATTATGGGACACAATTGTTCAAGATACTCGTACTCATGTGAAATATCATACAATTATGTCCGATATTTGTGGAAAATATATGTATGATAAATTTAATGAAATCGTTGAAGATACAAGACGAATGTTTACAAAAGTAAAAACGAAAAAGAACAAAAAAAGTTTTTTATTTTGAATTTTTCCTTTCTTAGTGTAAATCAGTTGCTTTAGCTAGTCATGAAGATATATTTAAAGTACTTAATGAATTACAGAGTGTAAGTGATTTATTTATTATCTTTTGTCTCTCGAACATGTTGATTACATATGTGAATGTTTATTTAGACAATGAAAACCTATCATCAGTATCAGAGCGAAAGCAAACAAGCCGAACAAAAATTACGAATTATTCAACAACAAATGGCAAAAATAAAAAGTGCTAAAAAACAAAAAACTATGGAAAAACGAGTTGAAAAAGTAAAGAAAACATAAAAAAAGTAAACGAATTTTAAATTTTCTTCTTTTTTTTTAAATCAATATTAGAGACAAATGAAATATACAGAAACGAAAGTAAAAGCATTTAAAGCACGTAATGATTATTTAATGACAATTGAATCTGTTAATGCTGCATTAAAAAAATATTGTACGGATGATGTACCTGATTTAATTGATTGTATAAATTTTGGTTTTCATACATCAATTGCTAAAACAATTCAAATGTATTTATCAGCACAAGAAAATATTAAACGTGGTCGACAAGCGTATGTTGATATGTCTTTTGTTTTTATTCAATTAATTAACATTTATTTGTCTTTTATTTTTACAGAACAATTGAAACATTAAATCGAGCAATCGGTGATTTAGATACAGTTACAGATAAACAAAAGTATTTAGAAAATTATACAAATATATTCACAATACAAAAAAAAATTAAATTTGAACCACATAAAGGTGATGAAGTATCAGCTGTGAATGCTCAAGTATTAATACGTGATGAAATGCAATCACGTTTTATACAAATGCAAAGCAGACTTGCAGGATTAAAAACAGAAAATGATGAGGTTTGCATTTAATTAACAATTAATAGAAATTTATTATAAAGGACTCTTCTAAAGAAAAAAAAAATACTATTTCAGAGATTTACAGCTTGATGAACAAGGACGTTTTTTTCATAGAGAATATATTTGAAGTTGTCTTATGTAAATAGAAATCTTTTTAATCCTACTTAACATACTTAAAGAAGTATTTTAACATGGTGTTCTGACTCTTAGACGGTCAAGTATATATGTAAAGAATAAGTAAGTAGAAAAATTGTTGTCAATATGTAAACAACTACTCTTGAATAGATTGCCTTAGGCAAGGACAAGAATAATTAAATGAACAGCTGTTAGAGTAAAAAAAGAAATGTAAATATTTACTGGATTTGTTTTAATAGATTTTCAAAACAATTGAAGCTACAGAACAATCATTAATGGAATTTATAAATACAAAAAATTCTGATGTTTCCGATTTATTTAAAGATCTTAATTTACCACAAAATGTATCAAAAGATAAAAGAAAAGAAATTGAAGATTATTATGTAGAGGTATTCTTACTTTTTGTTTTTATTTAATTTATTTAAATATTTTCAATATTTTTATTTTAATAGAAATTTAAACAATATACATTAAGTAGTAATTTAATTGCACGTTTACAAGCTCGTCATGATATTATGCAAAAAGCATTAGGCGCTGCTCCAGCCACAACTGGTGTCGAAGATAAAAAGTATGACATTTTTCTATAGATAAGTTAATAAAAACATGATTATTTTTGTTATAGTTTCATACGTCGTCCAATAAAACCAAAACAAATTGGTCGTGCTCCAATTCTTGGTCGTCCACGTTTATTTGGTGGAAAATTATTAGATTATATTCAAGTAACACAACAACATGTACCATTAATAATTTCATCATGCGTTAGCGCTATTAATCGACTTGGTTTACATAATCAAGTAAATAGAAAATTTCAATGTGAAATTTTCTTACTGATAAAAATTTGTTTCTTTTTTTTCCGCCTGAAGGGTATTTTTCGAGTACCTGGTGCACAAGTTGATATAAATCAATTTAAAGAAGCATTTGAAAAAGGTGAAGATCCTTTAGTCAATATAACTGGTCGTGATATGAATTCAGTTGCTGGTGTATTAAAATTATATTTTCGTGAATTAAAAGAACCATTATTTGCTCGAGACATGTTTGATTCATTTATTTCATGTATTGGTAAGGAAAAAAAAAACTTTATCTCACCAAAACAAAAGCAAGTTTTTCTTTTATTTTTTTTAGTTGATGTTGAATCTGAGGAAAAATGTGTTGAGAATCTTTGTCAAGTTGTGAAACTTCTTCCTCGTCCAATATTTATTGTTATGCGTTATTTTTTTGCTTTTCTTAATCAGTAAAATATTCATTTAAAATCTATCAAAAAAAAAAAATCTATTGTTGTTTATATTTAGTCTTGCAGAATATTCTGATGAGAATATGATGGATGCATCAAATTTAGCTAGTTGTTTAGCACCAACACTTATGCTAATACCTGAAGATAAAGATCCAGTACAATATTTAACACATACAATTGAACTTATACGAACAATAATTACCCATCATGAAGAAATATTTCCATCGGATGGTAATGGACCTATCTATGAAAAATTTGCTATTACAGTTGCAATGTAAGATAAATACAAAAACGCAAAACAAAGTGTTTTATGAAAAAAAAATCTTATTATTTTTTAGTGATGGGGAAGAAGATGAAGATGATGAAGGAATCAGTGAACGATCATTAAGACGAACACCAAGTGATGATGGTAAAAATAGATTATTAGCGAGCAAGAACATAACAAAAACAACTATTTCTTTTTTTCTTTTTGAAATATTTATAGCCTCACAAGATTCCGATTATTGCACCGAAGATTTTAATTTAATGAATGAGACTGATGTTTGGTAAAGAATGAGGAAATAATAGAGAGTTGAGAGGAAAAGGAAGAGAAATGATTTGCATCTGTGCAAGGAGGACCTTGGAAAGAGCGAGCGCATGTTTAGCATGGCTTCCGCATTATTCCCTTTTGTTTCAAAAGCTATACACGTCCTTGTGTATGTGCGTGCGTGTGTATGCTTTTTTAAATGAGATCTTTATTGAATAATATTTATTTATTTTTTGTTTTTCTAGAAGTGGAGACGATTGAAGCAGTAGCATTGTTTGATTATGTTGGAAGAACGGAAAAAGAATTATCATTTAAAAAGAATCAAATTATTTATATATTTAAAAGAATGAATCATGAATGGTGGCAAGGTTGTTTAGCTGGTGGAAATGAGTCGGGATATGTCCCCGACGGTTACATCAAGCCTAAAACAAGGTGTGTAAAACAAAATCAACTTTCAATTAATTATTGATACTAAAAGTTCGATAATATTGACTTCCTCAAATTGTGTCTTAGAATATCCTTCGAAGTTTGTTCGATTGATCCGAACTCGTTTTTACAAATCCTTAAAATGATTTCTGAGGCATTCAGCTGTGCGAAACTATTTGTAATTCAATTCGATGAAATTGCTGCAAGAAATTCATGGAAATATTCTTTTTTCATTTAAGTTTTTGTAACAGATTGCGAATTAAGAAAGTACCTCTCTCGGAGGGAACCAACCGGACTGACACTCGTTGTTTTAACTTCTATTATGTCTATGGGGACGTCTTGGTTAGACTAGAAAAAATCTACAAGAGTCTTAAATCAAGTTTTGATCGTTTTACTGAATTTATGACTTAGCCTTAAGTATACACTGGAAAACGACAACGCAAAATTTCGGCGTAAAATTTTGCTTATAGATAGATCTAATGATCTATGGAATATTGTCGAAGTTTTAACTGAAAGAAATGTTTCTTCATTGGGATATTGAATTTCCAACAACATAGTGGTTTGCTACGGACATTTTACGAAAATCTGGTTTACTTAAAAATTGACTATCTCGACAAAGGAAGATTTTTTTCGGCTGACACTTTCAAGATATTCTGTAAATCATAAGATCTATCTATGAGCGAAACTTCACATTGAAAAACTGGTTTGTTGGTATATCCCTAAAACTGAATCGAAAAGTCAGTAAAATAGTCATAACTCGGCTCTTAACAGTCATAGAGACAAATGCTTTTGACTTCCACCAGTATCGTCGATACGTTCTTGTAAATTCACTATGAACTCAAATGGCAGGTATTCTCGTGATTTCATTGTCAGTAGTTTTTGAATACCTTTCTTGATATTTGAAACTTTAACTGAAACGTTGTTTCAAATGATAGCTGGTGAAATCCTCAACAAAAATTCAATGAGACCTACTTTTGAGCTACTGTTTTGGCTTTTATAATATTGCGTGAAATTCTGATTGTATAGAGAAAAAATTGTATACAGCATATCGTGGTCGATAAAAAGATCTATTACTTGAGCGAATACTTTATTTTGATATTTTGGAAAATTTTCCGTACAAAGTATTTTAAGGATGTTTTCTAGAAGATCATCAAAGCTAATTTTATAAAAGCTCTTTTTTTGTGATAAGTACATGTAGCTCTACCAAGAGAGAAAAATCGTCTTTTTGTATTTCTTCGTACTTTAGAAGTACAGAAGTACCAAGAAGTATTCAGAAGTGTCATGGAGTACTGATAAGTATTAAGAAGTACAGAAATGTTTACAGGAAGATGACACAGTTATTGTTAGCTTAAGATATTCTTTAAAAAGCAAAAATAAAGAAAAGCTGATAACACAATCCGTGCGGAATTAAAATATGAAACACGATGAATTTGCCGATATTGTAAAATAGAATTTTTACCTACTGTTAATGGATGTCGATGATGAAAAATGCTAATTATAGTATATTGCAGTGAATGTAAAAGACAGGTAAAGGGCGATTATTATAGTAATCTCTCAGTAGACTTTGACCTCGTGGTTATATCTGTCACGTATTGAGGGGAAAGTGGAAGTCTGAATTTCTACCCCTATATACTTCAACACTCATTGTACATCATGTTTCACAAGATATCTAACATTCATGTTAATATTTTATGTTTGTTTCAGTAATACAATAGAGATGATTACTTGATAAACGACTGTTTGTATTCGTTAAGAGGCATCATTCTAATTATTACTTATGTAAATATCGATAATTCTTATTAATTTTGATTTTGAAGTATGAATATTTAAAATGTGAATGAATTTTATCGAACACTAATATCGGTAGAATTTGCTTTTGATGAACTGTTGTTTTTTTCTTCATCTTCTTCGCCATCAAGGATGTTGGTATGGAGAAAGTCTTCAATCACATTCAAGTCACACACACTTACATCCGAATGTTTTCAAAATTTATATTATAAAGAGAAACTGACTATAATTCCTCTTTTTTTCTCTTGAGTAAAAGAATCATCCAAAACTATATAGGAGTAAATATGCATGTCGAAAAGTATGATTTTGAAAGATTGATATTTGAAAATCTTTATTCTTTAAATTTCTTTTAGACGTCGAGATTCAGCTCCAGTACAAGATCGTCCATCTCTTAGTCTTACTCCAGATCCATCATCATCACTTAATTCAATTAGTTTAACAGCATCATCAAATGATCAACTTAATGCTCCTATTGTTTATCGTCAATCATCTGATTTATCAATTGTTGATGAACATCGTCTTGAAATAGCTAAAGAAACTGAAATAGTTGAAGTTGATTCTGATATTGATAATGAATCTGATGATGATGATGATGATGATGATGATGATGATAATGAAGATTCTGATGAATCACAAGAAAATACATATGAAAATACAAGTAGTTCAAGTCATCAAAAATCTAATAATCATCATTCAATTTATGATGTCTTACCACCAAGTCCACCAATATTACAAACAAAAATCGATCATTGTCATTCAAGATCATCAACATCATCATCATCACGTTTAACATCAACAAATGAACAACAAATTATTGATATTGATACAGCATTACGTGAAGTATTATCTGGTATTCGTACAGTTGAAGAATGTCATGCACAATGTTTTCGTTCAGTATCAACAATAAACAATCAACAAGATGAACGTTTATCAACACCACAAGAAAGTGATGCACCTGATCTTGTACTTAATTTACCTATATCAAGTGGACTTATAACACCACCATCAACAAAATCTATTGATAATAATATAAATGAACATCAATTATTAAAATCATCGTCATCAAATAGTTCACCAATTCATCAGACAGATCAAAATCATAATAATAATAATTCATTAATACCATTAACTATGATTAATGATTCAACACGTACATCACGTTCAAATTCTTCATCAACAACAACAACACATTTTATTGAAAAAATTCGTCCATCACCTGAACCGAGTCATCGAAAAAAAATTCCACCACCTATTATGAAAAAACCCGAAAAAACTATTGAATTACTTAAACGTCTTGGTTTACAACCATCTAATGAATCATCATGCGGTGCTACAAGCTCATCAACGTCAGCCTCTTCTTCCTCATCATCACATTTACATCAACAGCCAGTATCTGTTGCTGGATCGTCTAAAACTACTGATGTTTAATTAAATATTTTTCTTTGCTAAAAAGAATAAGAATTAATCGGTGCTGCTAGTCGCGCTCTTTATCTCGTGTACATTATTCTCTATCCCATCTAATCACTGTTTCTTTCTCACTCTCTTATTTTTTAGCGTGTAAACAATCATTCTTATATTCTCATTGTTGGCCTGTATTTGTGGCTCTTTCTTTTCTTAGAACAAAAAAAAAAAACAAAATAACAAAATCGTTTATCATTCTTGTTTGATTGTTTCTTGATTATTACCCGTTGTCCATATATTCTTTTGTAATGCAGTTTGTTTGTTTTTCTATATGAATGTATCTTGTAGAGAAGAATCTCCTGTTCAATGAACAAAGATAAAATAAGTGAAACTAATAAATAAAAGCAAATAAAATTTTGAAAAATCTTATTGAATAAAAATATATGGAAAAAATCAAGCTACCACGGTAGTAATGAATAGAGCCCGTCGGGTCTAAAATTCTAGGACTCAAACATGGTTGAATCTTACCTTGATACTCAATTAAATTTTCTGATTGAAATTGGATAGTCGTCCCGAAGATAGGAAATTTAATTTCCGACTTTTTGTGTTCAGACATTAGCGTGCTCTACATATGTCGTAGATAAGAAGAGTCCATCGGATCAACAATGTTCAGATCCCATTAACGAAAAGTTTTCAGATTTGGACTCGATCCAACGGGCTGTCGTGATGTAGCTATCTAACATTTTTATTGATTGTTTCGATCAATATGTGTCACATTTTTGTTCTTGTAAAGAACATCGTCAGGTACAAGTTGAGAAAAAGAAATGACTTAAGGCTGTTCCGTTCAAAAAAAAAAGTCAATTTTCGTCTGAAAAATTGGAATTTAGATAAATGCATGAGAGGATAGCTCAAAGTCTAATCTTTCATAAATGACATAGTTTTTTTATTTCGTACCTCATTTTCTGCTTGAAAAATATGATTCTGTTCGAAAAAGCGGAAAAACTTGTTCACTTTTTGATTATGCAATCCAGACTAATATAAAAGAGTACTTTTAGAATTAGAGCGCCATCGTTTTTCGAAACATTCAATTTTTTTCTCGTTAAGAAGAATTTTAAAGAAGGCTTTGTCATGTCCGGTATCCTGGCATGCTGTCTCAAACAAAAAAAGACAATAAGTATATAGAATAAAGACTCACAGAGAATTTTAAGTTCGCAAATGAGCTATTTTTGACCCTTGCTTGTTGAATATCTCCCGAAAACATCATGACATAAAGGTGAAAATGTCACTACAGTCTCTTCACTACATACTCGACATATCCTGACGATTTCGTATGATTTGAATGTACTCGAACCAAGATCGTTTGTTTTTTAGGGGAGCCTTACACGAGAATTCGAAAGAAACGTTAAGACAAAGTAAATAGTTTCTTTCGTTCTATTCGCTTCGAACATTGTAAGGCAAAGGGAAGAAGAATGATTTATCTGCATTAGAATGTTTGCAATGAATAGAATGAAAGAAATTGTTTATTTTGTCGTGTTGCTTCTTTGAGATTTGTTTAAACTTTTTCTTTTGCTAAAATTTGATGTTATTCATAATAATGAAGATCAAGTATACATTAGCTCTAGTTAACTGAGCACTAGCCAGATTTGATCTGATGTATACCTAACATAAATGATAACTAGTGATCATAGAACATGAATCAGTAGAGATACGTGTATTCAAGCAGAGTGGGACTATTGACAATGAAAATAGATGTGACTTTTTTTTTGACTTATTAAAAATTAAAATATAACGTGTTACTTCAATGAAATGATTTTCTAATGATGATCTTACTTTATTCACAGTAAAATTATTCTATTTGATTCAATGACTTTTAGTACAAAAACTCATTATGTACAATTCTAAAACATAAAATTGTTTTTAGAAGAAAGAGAGGATTTAACATGAATTACTGAAACATGATCATCCTAGATTATATAATTTGATAAAAGTAAACAATTACAATCTCTTGTATCTGAATAAATCTATAAAATCTCTTATTCCCGATCCTTAATTCAATAAATTATATTTTCTATTTTTTATGTAATGTATTAATTTATTCAGTAAAAAAAAACAAAAAACAACTAGTAAAATATTTTCAATACGTTAATTGGCAAAAAAAATTCTTTATCTTTTTCCATTGAAGTAATAGACACTGACCTATTGTCGTTGGATTATTTCACTATTAAATTTATATCGAAAGAGTTAGAAAAGAATTGGCTTATCTTTCAATCCGTTACAACCAACGATTGTTTACTTCATCAGCCGAAATTGCTTTTGTCGTTTGTTTGAGATTATTATGTCATCTTATTTATTGTCTTTCTTTTTTTTAAACATTCGTTCATTTATTCATTTCAAATCTATTCGAATACAATGACAAAAAAGTGAGTATCAACAATATTTTCTTTAAAGATCATAGAACATCATTTTCTAAGAGAGTACACATTAAAGAAAGCAATGTCTTGACTATGTAGTAATTAATTTGATTATTTTAACAAGATGTAGGTGAATGATCCTATCGCATTCTATTATCTACAAAGATTTAAGTTCATTGAACATTTTTCTATCACAAACATGTAAATTATATATTGATTTACATATGTAGGTGTTAACAAAAATATAACAAAAAAGAAATGAACAAATTCAATAACAATGACGTCTTTACATATTTCAATTGTTCAAATAATGTTACGAACTAAATATAATTATTTATCAATACTATTTGCTATTTTATTCTTTTTTCTTATACCATTAATAAATAGTTGTAATATATGGAAAGCATCTGAATGTCCACAACCACCAACAGCTGATGATGAAGACATAGTATGATATTTATTTATTTATTTTTAATTGATGAATTTTACATTTAGTTTAAATATGATTTGTATACACGTGAACAACTTTTTCAATTTTGTGATCAAGGAAAAAAATATGCCGAATGTGTTAATAAACAACTTCATTGTTGTGATTTAAAAAGTGAACATACAGGTGCATTAGCTGCTTTCGAAGTTGGTCTTCAGCAAAATGTAAGATTTTTGTAAAAAATTATCATCAAAATTCAGTTTTATTTAAAAAAAAACATCACGAATTGATATTATCATAGAATGAATTATTCTAATAATTTATGTATCTCGGAAATATATTTTCGTTTTACAAAAACTAAAAAGAAACTTATTTTCATATTTTTGTCAATCTTCATTAGGGTTGGCGATTAGGTAGATACTGTGCTGGTCTTGGTGCTACGACAATTATTCAATATAAATGTAAAACAACAAGTCTATCACCAGCTAAAACAACGACAACAACAACATCAACACCCTCCACAATGGCACCATGTGAAGTCGAAGAAGTCAGTATATATGATATTTAAATAATAATAATTATAATATAAATTTAAATTTAATATAGGCTGGAAAAGAATGCAATGATATATTAGAAGAACGACTTAAATTTGAAGTTGGTTGGTCTGTACAAGAAAAAATTCAATGGTGTAAATTAGTAACAGATTATATTCAATGTGCTGGTAAACATATAACAAATTGTTCAATAAGTGAAGTTCGTGATGATGTTGAGCAACTTTCAAATTTTATGGAATATATTATGAAACAAGCTAATTTACATTGTCATGGTAAAAAGAAAAACAAATATTTCGATTTTCTAAACAGTATTTATATAATTATTTAAGGTGGTTTTTATGGTTGTGAAAATGCGATTACTGATGTACGTTGTCGTTTAACTGCAAAACAATTTTATAATGGTGAAGCACTTTATTCAGCATCAAAATCATTAATCATTGAATGGTACTTATTTTTATCTGTTGCTTTAATATGTTGTTGGTGGAATAAATAAAAATTCAACGTTTTAGAATCTATAATTGATGTTATCCATGAACTCATTTTAAGACAAAAAAACAAATAGAAATAATTTTAATTAAGCTCTTGTTTTTCTTCTTTTAAAAATCTAATACAAATTTTGTTCTTTACTTTAATTGCTAAAAACAACCTGTTCGTATTTGTGCGTTCATAGACAATAGAAATAATATATAACGATATTTGAAAATTATCATAAAGAATTTTCTACAATCAACGAAACAATAAGTGACATTAGGGACTGAAGATGAAATCTCTGATGAATAGAATAGAAATTATTATTCAATTTGAACAAATGTTTTTCATCATTAACAAGTGGTGACAAAGCCAAGGAAATAGGCTCAACCCATTCTGAATGACTTTGAAAAATATGTTAAAATAGTTCTCTCTGTGTGGGTTAAGGTGGGTAAACCTATCGTGAGGTCCATTCTAGATTTGTAATCAGTAGAGAATTATTGAACTACTCCGTCCAAGTTTTAAGTCGGTGAGAAGTGGATGGTTTATTGGGTCACTATTAGTCGATTAATGGGAATGGCTTCAAAAGCACTCTACGAACGATGATTCAAATGTAAATTAAATCTTTAACAAAATATATATGATATATAAGTTTAGCTGAAGTAACACAATTTTGATTTTAGTTTTTAAAATAATGAAACTGTGTCGAAGAACAGAAGAAAATATAGCTGACAGTTCCTGAAACAACACTGCTTGATTATTCTGATAAGAACAAACAAACTTGCCCTTAACAAATTTTATTAAATAAAAATGGCATATCTATAAAATATTTTCGAACCGTTGAAGAGCGATTAGTCCAGTCACCATGCTGGTTCACCTTGAGCTGAAATAATGTCTCTGTTACTATCAACAAGTTCAAACAACCTATAATATTTATTGGATTAATAATTTAATTTTCTTGCATTTTATATATAATTGTTCGTAATAAAGAATGAATATTTGATGCTGTGTGATGACAAATGCAAATTCAATCGAAACAATATGACATACACTTTGCAAATCGAGATTCTTTCAATTAAGATTAAAAAAAGAAAGAGATCCATAATCAGGAGAAGGTACCGATTAAGGTTTTCTTTATTTTGCCAGGTCGACGATTACGGACGAAATACGATCATATACGGAGAAATACGGAGTAAAACGAAGATCGTATACGAACTCCGTAAATGTGGAGCGTAAACGATCGTTTTTTTTTATTCATATATCGTCGTATGTGTCCGTATATGATACGAAGATATACGTTTGTAATACTGAACCATGTATTTTGCCGTATTTCTCCGTATACGATCGTTTACAAGCGTGCCTATTCGACCTGGATTGATGAAATAAAAATCAACTGATTAAACAAAGAATATATATTGTTTTTAGTTTACAAAAAAGAAAATGATGTAAGGTAAAAGTACATTTTGTGATTGATTTTTTTTGTATTGATATGTTGATTGTTGTTGCCGATGAAACTTGAAACGTTTATTGATATTCATCTATAAGAACGAAAAGAAAACCAAAATCATAGGATTAAATTTATTTTATTTATCAACATTCTTTCCACGACGTAATGGAGCATAGAAATTTAGCAATCCCAATTAGGTATGAATTTTAAATTTAGACAGAGTTTGTTTTTAATTAGATACAAAGCCACAAAATAAATTCTGATTTTTGTTTGCATTAGAAAAACATAACAGACACTTGTTTTGTTTTCTCAACTAGACTGATTATTCATTATTCATTTATTTATATTATGATAAATGCACAAACGACTTCTGCGTCAATATGAGAGAATAATTTGTGAGAGTATTTTTATGAACAAACATATCAATATTTTAAATGTTTCAAGTATTAAAATTTCGAGAGAGGACAATTATTATTGTGTTACAGATAATACAACCACGTTGAATTCGAAGCCCAATAAATATCGATAAAAAAAATCATAAAATTAGAGATCCTATCTTTTGGGGGCGGGAGTAGAGATCGAAGTTTACTAAGACAAACTAGATTTTAACTGAACACACTCGTGAACTCTACAATTTCTTCGGTTTAACTAGAGTTGAATTAAAGTAGAAGATAACTTAATATAAATACATAAGATCAGTTCTTTATTCTCATCTTTCTCATTGTTTTTATATTTTTTTCAAAATCTGCTTGATTTTGTCTAAATCTCAACTTCGCCTGACACACACATATATATAGGGTGTCCGAAAAGTCACCAGAGATGGAAAATTTTATATATTTCCTCCATGTTTTAGCCTAATGGGTTAATATTTTCATCAGCAATACAGGACTGTGCATTACTCATATTCACAAGAGAAACATCGACAAAAACTGTTTTGAAGTATGAGAACTAACTTCAACAGAGAAGTATAACCTTTCACGGATTACGAAAAAACAATATTACGGTTCTCTCAACAAGCTCATTATATTTATTGCTGAAGCTTTCAGCTTACAAAGAGTAACAAGACATCTCTCTGTGGAATCCATTTGAGACTGAACGCCATTCCTACAGAAAAGTAATCAAAAAAATTTCGGCGCGTTGTTTATTCTTGGGTAGGAAATAGATACATTGTTTTATCCTTGACCGGAAGAGAGCATACCTCTTTAGTGAAGTCAGTTGTAAAACTTCAGAACAGTTTTTGTAAATGTTTCTGTTATGAATGTGAGTAAGGAGCACTTCTCTATCAGTAGTGAAAATATCAACACATTAGGTTAAAAACATGGAGAACATTTTCAAAATTTTCTATCTAAATAGTGACTTTCCGAACACTATATGTTAGTGTCTAATCTCAGATAGAACTAGGTTAATATAGCAATCCTATAGGCTAATCTCAAATTAGAGACTAAATATATTGCATTCTATGTAGACATGATAGTTTAGGGCAATTAATATATTGAATAAAAACTGGAAGAAAAAATATGCGTGAAATTGAATCGTCATTTATGCTAAAACGAGCCTCGAAGAAGTAAAAGTGTTAATATATATATCTGGATTAGAGTGCTGCACGGGTGCACTTTTTTCCACCCGAAACCGAACCGGAGCTTTTTTTCCGTACCCGAGTCCGAACCGACCCGACAACTCCGTACCCGAACCCAAACCGGACCCGAATAACTCCACCCGGTACCCGACCGGCAGCCGTTTATAAGTATAACACACCCGGCTACCATTATCACGTATAATCAATTTCAAACTTTATTTCATATGAAATATTATACAATCTACTTAAATAAATAAACAACAAAAACACTCATCTGAAATTACGTAAAAAAATGTGGAAACCTCGGATTTAAATCCGAGTGTTATGGGTACTTCAAAAAGTAAAAACACAGAAGCAATTTCCGTTTAAGTATCTTTGCAATAGGTGNCAGTAATTTGGTTAAAGTGAAATCAATTTCGTCACTAACATTCTTCTAGATTCGATATCAAGTTTTAAAAAAAAAGCAAAGCAAATTGTTTTTTTTCTTTTTTGATTAATACGCTAGAAGAAGCAATACTATAAAATTCGTGTTGTCAGTATGGGTGTGGGTGGGGTGTGGGTGTGGGTGGGGTGTGGGTGTGGGTGGGGTGTGGGTGTGGGTGTGGAGTGTGGGGTGTGGGTGTGGGCGTGGATGTGAGTGCGGATGTGGCCGTGGGTGGGGGTGTGGGTGTTCTAATAACTCACCCATACCCACACCCTGAAACGTTCTCGTGGAAAATGAAAAGTCGGATGTTGAGATTACAGGAGAATCGTGAAAGGCGTATTTTTAAGTCATACTTTTAGCGAAATATTTGACTGTGTTTCTACGTGTGTTAGATTTCGTCAGATCCATTTGTAAGAATCTTAATGCATCTGACTCTCGAAAATCATTGAATTACCCGGTAATCTTCTAGGATCCAACTAGCTGCATGAGCTCTACCTGGCTTGTTTTTCCTCTTGAATCAGAACTAGGCAAGTACGAGCATATGTATCACAAAAATCGTACTTAAGTACGAGTACGTACTTGTACTGGCATATCTCTGTCTTGCTTATTCATGGTGAATTAAAATGGCGTGTCTTTGCAACTTACAATATATTCACGTTATTTGCACATGAAAAATGATTGGTTTTGCCTTTTGTCGAATACCAACGCAACACCTATCATGGAGGGCTTGACTTCTCCTCAGTCAATATAAGCATGCGCACATTGTGTTGTTCTGTTGTGTTATGATAGCGGTCATGTGGTCTACTTTGTTGATCGCAGGAGTCATATTCTTTATTCTTTATCGTCTCATCAGATTCTGGATATTTTACCCATGGTACATACAAAAAGATTTACGAAATCAAGGCGTTCCGGGAAAGTACATACCTATACTTGGAGATCTATTAGATCATCGGCGAGCCTATCTTGCCGATGATCCTCTCTCTTATGCTAATGATATGGCGGCAAAATATGGAGATTACTATTATTCTTCCTTCGGCCCGTTGCCTTGTCTTAATGTAAGCGACCCATCATTGATCGAAGACGTATTGAAGACAAACGCACATGCCTATCACAGGGCTACTCTTGGACGTGAAATTCTTGCAGGATTACTTGGTTACGAAAATATCTTGTTGGCTGAAGGCGACAATCATGCACGTCATCGACGACTCGCCGCTCCTGTCTTCCAACAACAAAATATCAATTCCATGATCTCACTTATGACTCAGAGAACATTGAATTTTCTCAGTAAATGGACAGCAGCGATTGGCGATAAAAATCAACCGATAGCTTTTGACATTCACCAAGAAATGACAAATCTTACATTGGATATTGTAACTGGATGTGTGTTCGGAACCGAACTAATAAACGATCAACATGTGCATGAAATAATCTCCCGGTGTGTTACAATAGCAACGAAAGAATTAGAAAAGCGCATGTTCAACATGATCATCATTCTGCCGATCATCAATCAATTACCGATACTAGGCAAACCGCGCATTGATCAGGCAAAAGCAGAAATCAAGCATGTTGTTGAACAGA